ATAATTATTATGTACGAAAATAATATAACTCAAATATGTATATAAAGGCTCCAATTTCGCCTAGGAATTGGCAGGCTGAAACATATATTTTATCAAATAAATAACTTGACCTTTGAAAAACAAATCACTATTGCCTCTTTTACCTGATCTTATACATTTCAGAACTGTACTAATTTGTACACCTCTGGGAATTTTAGCATACCACATTGACCTTGTCCATTTAAAGTACCTCACTGCTACTAGTTCTTTGTCTTTATCTTTCTCCTAAGGTAGAAACAATATATGACAATATTAATCTTTTTATATAACTTGAAGACCAACCTATAAAAAGTGACTATAATACTTTTATACATAAAAAATCAACTCTTATCTTTCTTACTCTACCTATTATATATAAAACTAACTTTGAAAAACAAGTATATTAAATTTTACTTATAACTTGGAGGCAAATCTATATATTTGACTACAATGTCTTTATATAATTGAATATCATTTCTCCATTAGATATTACCTGAAATATATAAATTTTGAAAATCTTTGTTACTGCTTGAACTGTTATTGAAAAAAATATAATTAGAATAGATAAACTATTTTTTTTTAAGTTCTATATTAAACTTTTTTTAGCAAAAAAAAATATATATTAGTTTTTACATATTTATAATATTGTCAATAATAAGTAATTACCTATAATAAAAGTTTGGTTAATAATTATTTTGGTTAAAAAAAAAAATTTTTTTTTTACTTAAATATATAAGTTTATTCTAATAATAGTAAACTTATATAATTATAAATAAAGAAAATAAATTATTTAATAAAGTTACATATACTATAAATATTTTTTATCTAATAATAATAATAATAATAATAATAAATTAATTAAAAAATATAAAAGAAATATAATATATTGTAAAATTTTTTAATTTTTATTTATATAATATGAATATAAATAACTTTTTTTTTTAAAAAATAATTTATATAAAAATTTAAACTTGTAAGCAACATATTTTAACAAATATGTATATATATGTATAAGATTATTAATGTCTAATTATAATGAAATTGGTTAATTAAAATCTTGTATTTAATGTTTATTTGCAATAAAAAAAAAGTAATACATATATTTAAAAAATGATAATATACAGTAAATGTATTTAGAGAACACTCTTCATATTTTATTTTTGGTAAAAAATCTCTGCTCCCATATATAGTAACCCTTTACCATCTCTGATAAAAGTAGCAATTGTATTCTCCACAAGAATCGGGGTACTTTAGTCAGAACAATACGTAATCGTTATTTAATATACTAATTTTCCTTTTTTACACAGATACTACAGATAACTTGTTGTAGAGTTACAGATTATGCGGAAATGCACCTGCACGCCCATACTGCAGTTTATTATGTTTGGCGTTTTGGAGTCGGAGTATAATTAATATTAATTTAGTATTATCTATTTCCGGCATAAATTCGTGTTTGGTGTAATCTATAAGTGGAGGCGTTACTTTGTCATCTTTATATCATAGGAAATATGTTAATTGAATTTAAAAACAAGCCACGATCATCAGTGTCATGATCGAACACAAGCTCAAAAAAAGGTATTCCGCGAAAGTGGCTTGGCAAAATGGTTTTCTTCAACAACATAATTCAATTCCTTATAAAAGGAGGCTACTCCGCTGTTCCGACGTCACCCACAGAAACCCAATCGAATAATTTTCGTGTTGAACGAATGGTTTTTACGAGGGCAGAGCTTGCAAAGTCATATGCTAGAGAGTATGTTTTAGTTATGTTAGAATTATCTATTTTTATAACTTTTTTTTAATTTTTTTTTTCTTTATCCCTTAAACGAAGTTGGTTTATATGTATCATCTTTTTAGCTGGCTTCATAGCCATAGACAGTGCTGAACCTTATCACAGACGATTTTCGTTACAAGATGCAACTATCCAATTTCCGTATGCTGAGAAAGATACAGTTCCTATGTGGGCTGCAGCCGTACGTTTTCTATTGTGAAATAATTCAAGATTATGACCTAACACGAATTATCTAACCTGAAGAATCAATTCAGTTAATTGCAGTTCTTTTGCCATTTCTTATAATAACCGCTGTGTCACTTGTCATCAAAAAAAGCATGCACGATTGGCATCATGCGACTCTTGGACTAATTCTAGGTTTATCATTAACCTTACTGGTGACCGAGGTTTTTAAGGTGAATTTTTCTTCTTATGCAAACTTAATTACTGAATTATGTTTTTACGGCTGCCTGAATTTAAAAAATTTTAATTAGACCACCGTTGGCCGTCCTCGACCAGATTTTATCGATCGATGTCAACCGAAGAATGGTTCAGTTGATTCACCTGTTTTCGGACTTAGCACTTCAGCTATATGCACCCAAACTAATCAGGGCATACTCAAAGACGGATTCAAAAGTTTTATTTCTGGTCATGCTTCAAGTACATATTTTTGAATTCTTTTCTACGAAAAATGATTCCATACGTTTTTTTTACCAGCTACAAATGACATGCATATCTCAAAACCAATTGACGTAGCTTCTTTTTCCGGCTTGGGATTTCTTTCCTTATATCTTGCCGGCAAGTTACATGTATGGGATCAAAAAGGTCATACCTACAAAGGGTTCTTAGTAGTTGCACCTTTAGTTGTTGCCACTCTGGTTGCCATTTCCCGAACCACCGACTACCGTCACCATTGGCAAGATGTTGTCACTGGCGGTTTAATAGGTAACTAAGTATTCTTTTTTAACTACCTTTAAGCATACAATTCAAATACTAATTATTCTACGCAATGGTATGATGTTACATATGTAGGATTTTTACTTTCTGTTTTCTCCTACCACCAATATTATCCTGCTCTACATTCACACATTTCACACAAACCTTACTCAGTCAGGCTTAAAAAAGGAGAACCAGATTATCGCGTGGATTTTGCACTCCATGATGGAACAACGTTTGAAGTGTCTGTAGTTCGTCATGATGGTACATTCTTACATCAGGTCAATGGAAAGCCTGTACAATCGAGTGAAGACGACCAAAATATTGTATAACAGAATTGAGATTAAATCCTTTATTAATTTGTAATTCCTGTGGTTTTAATGAGGGTTGACGCGTTTTGCAATAATAAAAAATAAGGTTCTGACCATCTTACACATCTCGTTCCTCTTTATTACCATAAATAGGCGCGAATATCTAGAAATGAATCATCCGAGTTTATTATAATTATTTTTTCAGCTAAAGTCATTGCGATTGCCAGCGAAGATCAAGCAATCCCCATAGTAATCGTATTTATTAAGCAATAAAAACATCTATTTTAACTGCCATCACTAAGTTCTGAAGAGCTTTTGTATTAATATGCTTTTGTCTTTCTAATTAATATCGGAACTTTTAATATGTGATTTCGTGTCTCCCTTTTTTATTTTGAGATACTGTTGAACAAAATATTATGAAATCAGTCATACAGTATATCATAACAAGAATTCGAGGGACAGCATCTGAAGTACTCACCATGTCAAACCGAAATTCATTAGAGTCACTAACTTTCCAATTTTCTCTCACTCATCCTTCTGAGATTTCAAACCCCTCCAGATGTTTACAAACGCCTCATCAATGTCTACAGCTAATCGTACTATGCGCCTAAGCTGTTGTTCATCCAATGACTCCAATTTACTGACCATGTCTAAGGCAAAATCTAACAACCTCCCAAGCTCTACATCTTTCAGATTTCTCTTTTTCGCATGAAATTTATTCTCATTTGCTTCACGCTTCCTCTTCGTCATTGAGACCCATCACTCCGCAAGTTCTGATTCTAATTTTTGTTTGATTTTCTTCATTGGCTCGAATTCTTCTTTGTCTCCTATTATAAAGATAAAACGGATCATTATTAACAAATATATAAGCAGTGGAATAACATCCATATTCATGTTCTTTAAAACTTACCAAAACACAATTATCTCCAGCGCCAGTATTGACAATCTTCGCAGGTTCTCATCATTCCATCTTCCTTTTGATTGTGTGATCGCATGGTGATTTCTCGCCTGTTTTTAAAAGACTTGAGCAGATCAGTTGGATTTATATTCCCAATAAAATAATTTTTGGTCAGGAAACATTTTGAATCATAAAATTCAGAATGCAGAGATGATCTGCGTCAGAGAAATCGCTTTGGCGCGGAGGGTTACATTTTATCACAAAACTTTCCACCATTCTACGAGGAATGTACTGTTCGTGTTTTATTATATATTTGAAATTTCCTTTCATATTGAATAATTGGCTTGACGTATGCGCCCTGTTCCGCAGGAGAACGTTGTGGGATTTCTGGAGATGAAGCATGATGAATTGTGTCTTGTTCTTTGTCTGTTTTATTATATATTTGAAATTTCCTTTCATATTGAATAATTGGCTCGACGTATGCGCCCTGTTCCGCAGGAGAACGTTGTGGGTTTTCTGGAGATGAAGCATGATGAATTGTGTCTTGTTCTTTGTCTTTTTGATTGGTCTTCTCGTCTTCTTGATTTTCTTGGTCATATTGATCCTCTTCCTTAACTTGTTGAACTTCCTCCATAGCTTCTTCATTTTCCATGACCTCTTTATTTTCTTTCTCGAATTCGCGATCTGTTAAGCCACCAACAACACTTGAAAAAAAATCTTGCCCTCTTAAAAACAACACGTTGTTCTTTCTATAATTTTTAATGCTCTTCCATATTTTTAACATTTCGTGTTCTTCTTGGTTATTTTTCAACAGAGCTTTCATTGATGATAGCAACGCTTTTTTTTGTTCACTAATAGCAATCTTTCCATCCATTGGAGAGCCCAGCCAAAGCAAACACTCAATTGTTGA